TGCAGAAGCTGAGGTAAGAGGATGAGGATAGAAGATATTTTTTTGGATTATTAATTTTTCTTATTTTTTGGAATTAAAAAATTAATTAATGACATTTATTCCTCTGGTCTATGTAGGGCCATAGATGGAATGTAGATAAGTATTTTTCTTTTTTAATTAATTGAAAGCAAAATGGAATATATATAATAATGTAATGCACAACAATTGCACTACTTGTCGATCATTGGTGAATTGGAAATATCTTTACTCATTTGTTTGACTTTGCATTTCTTTCTTTTTGGAAGTTTCTATATTTTACTATTTCACATTCCAGATTATGTGATATCATCCATTTATAAAATATAATTTGAACCATAATTAATTTTAATTGCTTTACGATTAAGAACAAGTAATTTTAGCCACATCACAAACACAACTTTGTTAATTAATTTTTAAATTTTGATTTAATTTTCATGTCAAACCTAAGTGGGTTATTTTTATTTATGCATTTTCAGAAAATATAGATGATTTTTCTTTAAAAGAAAATCAAACATCTAATTGTAATTAATAAATTTAATGTATTAAATTTGGATCTAATTTTGAAGTCAAAACTCATATGGGTTATTTCTATTTATGAATTTTCAGATAATATACATGATTTTTCTTTAAAAAAATAAAAATTAAATAGATAGTTGTCAATCCGGTATGATTTTGTTAGTCTTCTCGATTACATGAGGAGTGGAGGTTTTGAGTTCGAGTATTCTCCACCACGAGTTTTTACTAAATTTGATTAGTCAATAGAAGAGCTACTTCTATTGTATAGACTGCAATGTTATTTCGGTCATTTTGGCCTCCCAGTGAATAAATAAAAAAAAAAAAAATCAAACATCTAATTGTAATTACAAGAAAATTACCCTCTTACCTTTCAACCCTTCATTGATTAGATACAATTTCTTCTTGCTTATGCCACTAATTTTAGTTCCGTGTCCATGCTAAGCAAAGTGACATCATAAGCACTGACTTTTCAATTAATTCCTCTACCCATTACAAGTTTATAAAAAAACAACAAAAACAATCAAAACCATCTAATTGTACATTACCAAGAAATTACCCTCATTACCTTTCAACCCTTCCCTTCGTATCTAGAATAAACCCAATATTTCTCTTATTTATAGTCTCCTATCAATTTCTAGCCTTTCGCGGACTAAATAGTCTCATAGTTCACTCTCACGTGTCTCGCGCTTAGATTTCGACTCCACGTAAGCAAATGGACATCAGTCTCGGGATCATCTCGAGTTCGTAGATTGTGCAGTGACATCCTATTAAAGCATCCATGATGGGATAATTCATTATTCTTTTACTAAACATAGTGTTTAAATTAATATCCATATGGCTATAGCTCCCAACTTATAAGGCAATGTTTTTTTCCCTAGATTTGAAGTTCTTACCCTAATCAATCATACAATAATTCTTAAAACAATATTTCCGGTAGATGCGAACTCACACACATCACCGCATGTATTTTCTATTGTCACCTTTCATCATATTGCATATTTCAACAAATGTCCTCCTTATAAGACATTTCTTTTAAGGCATAAAGGGGTTAACTAATTTTTCATCAATTGCCTAAGCTTCTGTTAGTCTCCATTTCACCTCGAGCACGAGAGTTATCCATAGAGAGTAAGATCACAGAGACAGGATGTTAGTGTCCCTCAAGAAAGTTTTGTGACTCTCGACACCACTTCACTTCACTTCTGTGCTCTAAAAATAGCGAGTGTGTATGGGAAGGTGATTTTTTGGGGTTCTTTTTTGTTAAGCGCTATTAACAGGAAAATTTTATACAGCACCTTCAATTTCGGTGAAATTCCACATTACTAGCAAATTCCCCCCAAAGATATCTGACAACCCTCCAGTAAAGACTGCTTAGCAGTAAAGTGACCACAGATGTAGACATCTCTAACTCATGATGCGTCCAGGATTCGCAGAAGATTTGCATTTATTAAGCTTGAAGGCGGGTGATGGACTAGTGCCCCCGTCTTGGCTTTTGTCCAATTTCTCCAAACAACTCATTTGTTTGAATGTGACGGCTCGGATGGATCGGGTGTCGAGCCTGCTGTAGGTGGTAAAGTGCTTGGTCCGGTAGGTGAGACTGTCGGGGGACTCAGATATGCGCTACTCTTCTTTAGCCATAGGATCGGCTCTCCGTGGGTTACCTAACATCGTTCTCGCTATAATCCATTAACTATCGTAAAAGTAATCACAGATCGAATCGGCAACTTGTGCGTACGTGTTTTAGCACTTGCTGTCTCCAGTGACCAATAATGTCGAGAGGCTGCGCTAATCCCTTCTTGGTCAGAACTTTCCTATTGGCGTGATGAAGCCGGATAGCCTTGGGATGGACCAGACAAAGGCGGTTTTAACCAATGTGTCCAAGTTCTATATAGAGGACCTTCGCAAAAAATCACTACAGCGCCCAGCAAGAAAGTGTGTTGCTCAAACATTTAATTGGGATTCAGCCTTCACCACTTCGAGGGCTGTGTATGAAAATTGTGGTTTGGAGTCTAGAAAAAAAGGCAATATTAATCAATCCAACTCTCGGTGCATCACTTCTAGATTACTTGTGCTGCCGAATAGAGCCCTATGCCAAGGAGGAGAAAGTAGGAATGTGGGGCAGGGGTTCCAAATCTTTGGGCAATTTCCTGGTCCAATCCAAATTGGATTGTTTGGATGCCCTGAGATTCAATATAAACAACAGTCAGATTGATTTTTTGGCTGAATTCCTAGATTTAGAGGGCGTAAAGTACGAGGTGTCGCATTAGCGATGTGGTCGGCTAAGGTTTGAAAGTTGTCATCACGATACGGGAGAGGAAGCACTTTGGTCCTCTTTGGGTATACTATAGAGAATTAGTGAATTCTAACTCTTTGCATTCACCATAGTGAGGCGCCTCGTAGGACATTACTACTGTTTTTTGTAGAGCACAAAAGGGATTCCAGCTCTGGTGCGTTGAAACGACGCTTTAAATTTTGAGAGACATATTTTACACAACAGCACTCAAGTATTAATCCTCGAGGAGGCTTTTTTATGCAATTTAAACCTCTTCATATATGAGTGATTATCGAGTACCATCTTATATTTATTACATGTGCACCTAATAGAAAAATATACGAAAGAGACAGAAAGGTGTGTGAGAAGGAGAGCGTTTTAGAATATTTCCATAAGTGGGAAAATTGTTGCTCTCAATTAAGTTGCATAGTTTTGTCCAGAGACACGAAGAAAGAGATTTATTGAGCTATCATCTTTGCCATAAGCTATGAGTCTATACATATATCAACCCTTCTTCCATATTTCCCAAATCGCATGGAAGTTCTATTTCGTGATCTGATACGACATTCAATGACTATACATTGAATAGCCTTTCCATAACTTTTACATAATAAGGTACATATAGTTCACGCTAATATTTTTGGTGTAGTTGGATACCAAGACTTATTTTCAAAAGTTAATATATATTAGAAGCGAAACTCACATAATTCAGATTTGTCCTATTATCTCTCTCTCATTTTTACTCTTCTTCTTTTTATTTCTTTTTTGGACCTATTTTTTGGTCTTCTCATGAAGCTTAATCTTTTTGATATAATATGTTTAAAGTTAAGTGCTGAACAATTTATAATTGCCATGTAACGAACTCAACCAAATTTTGTTTCAGTTTGAATCGAGACTCGCCCTTTTGCCATTACAATCTTGAGCTTTAGTTTTTGGGAGTGTGAAGAGCGAAAACTGTGTTTTGCATGGTAGAATGAGTGATCCCGTGTGTGAGACATTTATCATAAATTATGTTAGGATATTCAGGCGTGGATTATGCAATACATACCCACCATACACAATATAAGGAACCTGTGCACCGAGGATGGGCTGGTGTGAATTCCGTAATCAGTTTCATTTGAGTTTTTGATAATCTCTTTTTTTTTTTTTTTTTTGGCTATTAGATATTATGCTAACAAAAAATTAACGAACAAATTCATTAAGTGTTTAATTTGTGGGATTAGCAACGGTTGAGTAGGATATTTTAACATATTAAATAGGAATTATTGCAAATAAATCAAATAAAATTCAGTGCTTCTATAGTCAAATTTTAAAATTTAGTACCATGTAATATATAGTGTTGCACATGCGTGTTCCTCATTATAGGAATTATGTTTCTCATTAAAAAATTTTAAAGAAAGAGCTTGAACTCAAGATCTCTCACTCCTCACATAAATAAAAAAACTAACCAAACCACCGCCTGGTTGGTATAATCTTATTTTCTTTATTCAATTTAATTGGATATTTTGTATAAATAGTAACTTACATGCATTGTATAAATTTATTGTGCATAAAGACACTATCTTGTACTGTTGTCCCTTTTGAAATTTCTTTTGAGTTTCAGAGGACAAGTTAATTTGGTTTAATATTTAAATGACTATGTTTTTTATTCCATGCTATAAAACTAAAAAGTTTATATATATATAAAAAGTTTATATATATATAATAATATATATATTTATATATATACTATTTATTTGGGATCTAACCAAAACCATAGTATATATTTGGGATCTTAACCAAAACCATAGTAGATAGTTTTGGGACCAAACATAAACAATTCTATTTTGGTGTCATCCTTCTTTACAATCAAAATTAGCAGTTTCACAGCTGTGATCTCGTTTAGCTAAAGCTAAAGTTAGAAAAATTTTATAAGTTGCTATTAACAGTGAGGATTGCAAATTTTAAAAGTTACTTTTAATGGTAATATATTTTGACTCATTAGTTTTCTTACTTATGTCATAAATGAAATATTTCAAATTGAGTCATGTCAACCACAAGATTTTTTCACCAATTTATTATGTGGCTCGCAATATTATTTTGACTCATTTGACCTTTCAATAAATTGAAAAATTGTGGAAAAAAATAGTTAACCAAAAGCATATAAGTTAACGCATATGAATTAAATTAAAAAATTCAATTAAAGTTAAAGTTAAAAAAAAAAAAACTATAATAATTAAAGCAAGTTCGCAGTTTCATTGATATATAGCAAGAAAAATATTTCTCTGATACATATTACAAACATATATTGCTTGCATTAATATGATATATGCAGCTTAATTGGTTTTGTAATTATTAAATATTACTTAATCGAAGCTAATTAATTAGCCCTATTTCAATATTAATCCCTCTCTAACCAATAGAAATTCAATAAGGCTTCTCACCAACACAGTTCCCTGGAGGATAATAGTTGCAACTAATAATGTTCCATCCTTCACCACACCTAACACTAGCACAGCCTACTTCCTTGGTGTTTTTCCAAATAACTTGAGTGTAATGCCAGCATTCACCGCCAACACAAGTATTGCTTTGATAATCATAATGAGCTTTCTCATCTACCCATAATTTCACCCCATCCACACCGCTAAATTTGCCGAAACCTTGCGCTAAATTCTCCCCATAAGGACAACCTACCGAATGCTCTAAGCTGCAACTTGCAACTAAAGACTTTGTGCAGTGTTTTGCATATTTTACCAGTGTTGTGTTCCAACAAAGCGGTGCGATCCCTAGCTCTGCGCGGGCGCAATTATGTGCAGCCAGGTAGTCTTCTGGAGAGTCGTGGGCTGCAGAGTCGTGGGCTAGAGAGAGGGGAACCATGGTTAAAGAGTCGTGGCTAGAGAAAGAGGGGAACCATGGTTAATGCCATGAGTTAATGCCATGAAAATTAGGGCTATTACTACCAACTTGTTGAACCCCATTTTCTAGTTGTCTATATTAAGCTATGTAGAGGCAGAAAATGAGGCTGCAATTAGCACAAATTGGATGAGTAGGTTCTGAGTATTTATAAGGAAGAAATGTAGGAAATTAAATGTGTTCTTTGAATTAGTTGGCTTTACTCAAAATGGTTAATAATTATTGGACATAAACTTCTGAATGAAAAACAATTAGTTTGTTAGAAAAAGAAGTTTACGGAAATTATCATGGTATAGTTATTTGACAACCGTTTTGTCCCATTTTGTTTTTCTTAATGAAAACAACAAATGGAAAATTTGTACCACAAAAAAAAAAAAAAAAAAAAAAAAACAAAAAAAAAAAAAAAAAAAAAAAAACAAAATGAAAAAAAAAAAAAAAAAAAAAAAATACAAACAAATGGATAGAAAGAATTATTTAATTTCTTGATGCTAGGTGAGAAAATAATTTAACTAATTTAAAATTTAAAAAAGGACTTCAAATTTTTTTTTTATAGAAAAATATATGTCTCCATTAAAGTTCATCTAAGAATGCAATTCATTCCATCTTGTCTAACTACCTATGAGTAAAAAGAAATATTCAACCCTCTCTTTATTCATTATACATATTCTATTTTTTCTTTTTTAAAATTTTTGAATTTTTTTATTATTTCATGTTTTGATTTGACAATTAACTTAAGCTATTTTTAAAATCTAAAAATCAATATTTATTTCTAGTAATAGTTATGACTTAAAAATTTTAATCATCTATATTTGTATCCATATCTATCATGTATCATATTATATTTTTATATTTATATATTTTATTTTATTTATATATTAAATAAATATAAATGTAACGATAATACTATACTATGTTAGCAACATGAGTTGGAATAGACAACATAAATAATACATTATACTATATATAAAAGTGGAAATGAGGGGGAATAATGAAATTTTCTATAACACCCTTAATGAAATTTAAAATGTTCTAAAATACCCTTAATAATGGCCAATTAAAAAATTATAGTTTATTAGTTGATTGGACATAATTTATAAAATTTAATTTTAAGCCAATCATGTGCGGTTTCATTGTCTTCTCACTTATGTGAAGAGTGAGAGGTCTCGAGTTCGAGTCCTCTCGTTTACAAGTGTTTTCATCAATTTGATTATTGTAGCCCACAGTATTATTTTGGCTCATTAAGCATCCTAATGAATCAAAAAAATTATTTTTTAAATAAATACATATAAATAATTAAACATTTTAAAATTTTAAGTTTTATTTTTAATCCTTTACTAGATTTTAATTTTTAAATCAATATATATGATAATTGAGAATATTTTGAAAATTTTTTTATATTTTATTTATTAAATACTTAATTCTTTTTAGGAAATAATAATAAAAAAGAAGAAAGAAAATCAATTTTTTTTTTTTTGCATGATATGATTGGATATTTTTTAAAAAATAAATAAATTTTCCAAATAGAACTATATATAATATTTTATTTAGGAAAGAGATAAAAAAATAGCAGAAAAAGTATATTTTTTTATTAGTGTTTTTTGTTATTTATGTTTTGTAAGATTCGATTGGATGTATTTTTTAAAAGTAAAAAATTTCAAAATAGAATTTACATAGTTGGAGACCTGTGATGGGTAAAGGCGGTGATAAATTTTAATTTTAAAAAATAATATTTTTATTGATTATTATATATCTAATATGCATGTAAAAAATATAATTATTTTTTTTTTTTGCCTAGTTGAAGTTACTAAATTTGATATTGATGTAACTCCGCAAAGTATTATTAGTCGGCCCATCAAGCCCTCTTAATGAATCGAAAAAAAAAATTTTTTAAATAAATACACATATAATAATTAAAGCATTTCCCAAAATTTTAACATTTTAAGTTTTATATTAACGTTAAATTTTATTTTAATTTTTAATGAAATATATATGAACAATGAGACATTTGAAAATTTTTTTAATAAGTTTTTATTTATTAAAATATTTAATTCTTTTAGGGATATAAGATTAAAAAAGAAAGAAATTTATATATATTTTTTTTAATTAAATATTCTTTTTTCTTTATGTTTGTATGAAATATTGATTTGGATATATTTTTTTTTTAAAGAAAATAAATTTTCAAAATAGAATATATATATTATTTTATATTTAGGAGAGAGGAAATTAAAAGAAAAGAAAAAAAGTAACTATTAAATATTTTTGTTCTTTATATATGTTTGTCATGATTAATTTGATTGTATATATTTTTTTTGGTAAAAATAATTTTCAAAAATAGAATTTACATAATTAAACAAGGAATGGTAAACAATTGATTTTAATTTAAAAAAACTGTAATATTTTTATTTGATATATTTATATATTTAACATATATTGAAACTTTTTTTTTTTGTTAGGTGAGTTTTTTGAAAGAGTTTATTTTTATAAATAATAATAATAATTTTTTATTTTATTTTTTGTTACTGAATAATTTGTAACTATTATCATTTTAATTTAGTAAGAGATTTATATCTCCTTTACAATAAATAGATGGCCTATTGATGGTTAAGCATTTTTAATTTTCTTAATATTTTTCTCTTATATCCTAAATCTATTTGACTTAAAAGAAAATAATGTTTAGGAAACTGGAAAAAAAAAAAAAAAAAACTATAACTATATATTTTTGTTTGGGTCACTTTTTTGGGTTTCAAGAATTTGTATGTATGTGCATATATTCCTCTTTCTAAGACATTGAGCAAGTAATACAGCCATTATAGTACAAGTAATTTCTATTATCAATTTAGATCATCTTCTCATTTATTTTCTTTTACCTAGCAGTAAAAATAATTTATTATTATTCTTCATTATAGTTATATATACTTCATTATAGTTATATATATATTGATTCGGAGTTAAGAGTAGAGGGTTGGAGATTGAATAATAACAAGGCTAGGACCAACAGCGAGAATGCTGGGACCAACAATGTCAAAGGTAGCAAGGCTGGGACCAACAACGAAAATATCAGAGGTGACAATGCTGCAACCCAGAATGCCGATGAGAGCATGGCAAAGTAGTTGGCTAGTCGAAGTGAGTGCACAAGCCAGAACTGAAGGTGAAGTTATTGAGGACTGATGAGATCGTATTGTTTTTGCTCCAAAATAAACAGTTCAATTGCTTACTACCATTATATTGGTTTTTGCGAGTCACACGTTTTCACCTTTAAGAACATGGAGCGATTTGGGTTGAATAGAGATAGTTATTATATAATTTGGGCACAATGGTCAAATCTGACATTTTAATTGGCAAGGGACAAGTCTAGAGACTAAATTTGACTTTATTCTAAAATTGAACAACAAACAAAACATTATCAATAGTACTAAAGAGAGTTATTAAAAATGGAAAAAATAAATTAATTTGTAATTTATTTCATAAGGTAGCATTTTTGTCATTAAAAGAAAAAAAAATAAAAGAAAAAAAAAAACAAGAGCTAAGAAAATTGATGGGAATTAACTAACTTGCATACATTTCAATGTTTCTCTAAATGCAGAATATTTATTAACTAATTGCTACATTTCAATGTTCTCTAAATGCAAATATTAATTTTACTCCAATATCTCAATTATAAAACTGAACAAAATGCATATAACATGAAGATAAAATAAATTAGGTGCAACAAGAAGCTTGTGACTTTGATTTTTCATCGTGATTGATTCGTCTAAAGTTATTCAAGAATAGGTTAAACTTAGAAAAAAAAAAAACAATTATTATGTAATTCAACTTATATATATTATATTAGGAAATATGAATTCAATAAGTACGTGGCCCTCAATATTTCCTATAGGATCATAATTACAGGTAACAAACCACTACCCATTCTTGCATTTAGCACTGCCACAACCAAGATGAACTGAGCTACGCCAAACAACCTGAGTATAGTGCAAGTTATTTTTGGTAGTATATATATGTTTTCTTTTATGAAACAAGTCAAATTCATATTTCTATCGGTCGTTAATCTTGCATACAGAAATTACCACATCTCTTTCTCTTTCTTTTTCTTTTTGCTTTTTCCAGGGGAAGAGATGACTATGTCTCCTTGATATCAAAATTGACGAACAATTTCATTAAGCGTTTAATTTGTGGAATTAGCAAGGGTTGAGTAGGATATTTTAACATATTAAATAGGAATTATTGCAAATAAATCAAATAAAATTCAATGCTTCTATAGTCAAATTTTAAAATTTAGTAACATTTAGTATATAGTTTTGCACATGCATGTTCCACATTGTAGGAATTATGTTTCTCATTAAAAATTTTTAACGAGAGAACTCGAACTTAAGATCTCTCACTCCTCAAATAAGTATGAAGACCAACCAAACCACCACTTGATTGATATAATCTCATTTTATTTATTTAATTTAATTAGGTATTATGTATAAATATTAACTTACTTGCATTCTATAAATTTATTGTGCATAAAGACACTATCTTGTATTATTGTCCCTTTTGAAGTCAGGACAAGTTAATTTGGTTTAATATTTAAATGACTATGTTTTTTAATCCATTTTATAAAACTAAAAATTTAAAAAAAAAAATGGGATCTTAACCAAAACCATAGTAGATAGTTTGGGATCATACATAAACAATTCTATTTTGGTTTCATCCTTCTTTAAAATCAAAATTAGCAGTTTCACAACTGTGATCTAGTTTAGCTAAAGCTAAGGTTAGAAAAATTTTATAAGTTGCTATTGTAATATCCTCAACTTTGTAGTTCCTGCTATTCTAGCTTTTTCGATGAATTTGGTTATCCGAATGAAAGGAAAACTTAGAATAATGGGAAATACTATATATTGAGGATGTGAATATTAATTAAATGGTAATTAATGTGATTACAAATCAATTTGAAAGATTAAAGGAAATCAAAAATGAGTTAAAGAGGTGGTAATTAATGTGATTACAAATCAATGTGAAATATTAAAGGAAATCAAAAATGAGTTAAAGAGGAATGACTTCTTGGTAAAGCACGATTTTACTCGAAAAGCCCGAAAAACGGTAATTTCAGTATGACCTTTCTTAAGTGGGTATTAAATACACTTGGTTTGATACCTACTAGGACTTAAAGTGAAGTGATTTAAAAAGATTAGGTGATTAAAAAGATTAGAGTGCCAAAGGATGAAGGGAAAACAAAAGGGAGGATTATAGTGCAATTTTCATTTAAAGGACATGGAAGGAATTTTTTATAATGTTTATTATATATTATTATGAAGAGGTGGAGATAACCACGCCATTTTCCATCCATTTTTGCAGCCCAAGTCAGTCAAGAAGAGAGAGGAGAGTTTTGATTAAAAACCAAGCAAAAAGGAGGTGAAAATCAAGAATTTTCAAGTAATTTTTAAGAAAATGTTAGTTATCTTCACTTCCTCCTTCTTTTCTGTGGATTAATTTTTAAATTCCATGAACTTTGAAGTGAGGTGCTTGCTTGTTCATTCTGATTTGGTGAAGATGAAGTGATTAGAATTGAGTTTAAGGTGATAAGATGATTGAAGTAGTTTATGCATGAATTCAATAGTTTATTTGCATGAATTCAACCAAGATGGTTGATTTTGAGTTTGCACGTTGATATGCCATTGACCTAGGGATTCTATATGCGTTATTTATGATGTTATGTAAGTAATTAGGAAGATTGAAATTGCATGAATTATGCTGCGAAGTGAGTTGAGAAGCTAAGCAATACATATCATTGTATGGACCTATCTACAAGTTGCGGTTGTCTAACTTCAGCTTTTGTAAGTTGACCTTATTGACTAAGCAATAATTCAAAAAATTCATGAAAAATTTATAGGGGAGATAGGCTGAGATGTTGGTACGTTCATGTTAAAAGGAAAGACCATTGATTGAAAAGAAATGGAGTTATAATTAATCCATGTAGGCTGCTTAGCATAGAAAACTGAAATCTTCAGATTCTATAATTTAGTGTCATTTGACAATGAAAAGTGGAGCTTTAAAAATTATGAAATTTTACAGGGGCAGTACCCTAGATGGGAACCATGCTGTAAAAATTTCAGGGCAAATGAATATGAGAAATGAGATAATAGCCGAACGGAAGTTGCAAGCTCTCATATGCTAAATTCTGTATTCATAACATTGAATGAATTTAGCATGCCATTGGACTTCTATTTGTTTTAATGTTATATTTATTCTAGATCGTGGTTAATTTTGGATATGAAGTGTATTCCATGCTTAACTAAGGTTCATATGACACTTGGACAAGCATAGGAAAAGGAAAAGAAAAAAAAATTCTGATACTACAGGTCTAATGCTTAATTTGCATTCCTATAGAAGTGCATGTCTGTATATTGTGTAGTATGAATTAATTATTAATTATTAGATCTCATGCTACATCTTCTGAGAGAAAGGGATTTGAGGAGAGGGTGGTTGCTAGACGGAAAGGGCTAGGGGAGCCTTCTAGCTCAGGTAGTGTACCAATTCCTTTTCTACTTTTGTTTTAAACAAATGAAATTGATTTTGCAAAACATTTTTCCAATGATTTCTTATGAATGTATTAACTATAACAAAAAAAGAATAGTTAGTGATTTCATAAGTGTTCTTTAAGAAGAAAAGAGATTATTGAAAGCATACACCTAATTACATATGTAAATGAATCTATGATTCTATACCTTGAAAGAGCGAATTTCCAATTGCATAGCCTGTATATGAGGGGTGCCGTGACTTGATATTTAGTAGTGTTTGCGAAAATTGAAATGTTCCCACAGTTGATTTTAAATATATTAATGAAATGGATGTTTAAAAAGTCTCTACACTGATATAGACACGGTTATACCCCGAATATCACTTCATTTTGTTGAATTTGATAGTACGATTCGATTGAACATTGAATATCAATCACTAGATGTATATGATTGATATGAAATTCTCCTCCATGTTCGAGCTTGTAGATTGCTCGCCTCTTCTGTTTGAAATCATATCACAGATTGAGGTTGTAGATAGCCAGTCTAATGGTGCACATTAGACACTGATGGCCCTCGGAAATTCGATTCTATTAAAAGCTGTAAAGACTACATTATTGGAATTTATGATTTAAATGGTATTGTGTTTTTTTTTCTTATTTCCTTTCAACATGTGGTTATACTTATGGTCACTATTTTCATTATAAAAAGTTTGATTGATAAATTTTGTGTCTAAGTTTATAATAGTACACCACTAAGCCAAGATACTTCACGATAGTTGGCTTTTTGCTATCGCAAGAAAAGCAAGGAAAAAGAACTAGGAGAGGATCATTTTATTTGATATAGATAAATATTGCTACTGATATAAGCTATTGTATACTTTGACTTCGTTTTGGATATGTACGATGGTACTTTAAACATTAATAGAAACATCTATGTATATTTGAGCAGAGACATGTAACATTATGATGTACTGATTTCTCATTATGTATCTAAGTTTTGAAAAGGATTTTAGTATGTAATCTAAACCATCCATGCTTATGGGGTTATGGAACCATTTATTTTTGTTTTTGCTAATATAATTGATGTTTAAGAAATTCATATGACTTTAATGGAAGTTAGTGTTTCATATGTTAGGTAAATTACGCGAAAAAGACATTTCTTATAACAAGATGAAAAGAACTAAAAGAGTCGTTACAGTTTATAATTAAATCTACTTTTCTACAAGATATAAATGAAATGATATCAACATATTAAGTCCCTTGTATATACTTGATAAGCATTTAAAGACTTTAATTGCTTTTAAGTATATTACGGGCGACATTCATTTCTTACGTTAGGTAAAGTTATGACAGCTATTAAGCACATGGGATTGCAAATTTTAAAAGTTTTGCTTTTAATGAAAAATATTTGTAACTCGTTTATTTTTGTCACTTATGTCAGGAATGAAATATCTCACGTTGAGTGCCTGTTCCAGCCAAACATTTTTCACCAATATTAAAGTTAAAATTGAATAGAAAAAAAAAAAGTATGTATTAACTTAAAGCAGTCGCAGTTTCTTGATATTATAGCAAGAAAAATATTCTCTGATACATAGTTAGAAAAATATTATTGCTTGCATTAATATGGAATATATGCACTTATTAAAGTATTAATTAATCGAAGCAATTAAATAAAGCCCATTCATAATCCCTCTCTAACCAATAGAAAAGTCTCAATAGGCTGCTTGCTCACAACATAGTTCCCTGGAGTGATAATAGCTTGCAACTAATAATGTTCCATCCTTCACCACACCTAACACTAGCACAACCTTACTTGCCTTGTCGTTTTTCCAAATAAACATTTGAGTGTAATGCCTGCATTCCCGCGGCAACACAAGTATTGCTATGATAATCATAATGAGCCTTCTCATCTACCCATAATTTCACACCATCACACCGCGTAAATTTTCCTGAAAAACCTAATGTGCCTAAATTCTCCCCATAAGACAAACCTAACCAAATGCTCTAAGCGCAACTGCACTAAAGACTTTGTGGGTGTTTGGCATATTTTTACCATGTTGTGTTTCCAACAAAGCGGTGCGATCCCCTAGCTCTGCGGCGAGCGCAATTTAGTGCGGCGAGTAGTCTTTTGGCGAGTGGTGGGCTGCAGAGTGGCTGGCTGCAGAGTGGTGTGCAGAGTGGTGGCATGGGCTGCCATTGAGGTGGCTAGAGAGAGCGGGAACCATCGTAAATGCCATGAAAATAGGCTATTACTGCTAAACGTTGTTGAACCCAGTTTTCTAGTTTGTCTATATTTAAGCTATTTAGAGGCAGAAGAATAGCGCCAATTAGCACCAAATGGTATAGTAGGTTTTAATTTATACGGAGAAATGTAGGAAATTAAATGTGTTCTTGAATTAATTGCTTTTACTAAAAAAATGGAACTATGTTTTTGTGGATTGATTAATAGTATTGGAAATAAATTTCTGAATGAAAACATGATAGTAGTTAGAAAAATCAAGAAGATCCGGAAATTATCATGATAGTTATTGATAACCGTTTTGTCCCGTTTTTTTTTTCTTAATGAAACAACAAATAGGAAAACATTTGTACCCAAAAAAAAAAAAAAATCAAACAAATGGATGTAGAAGAAGAATTATTTTAATTTCTGATGCTAGGGTGAGAAAACTATTTTTAAAATTGAAAAAAAGGACTTCAATTTTTTTTTTTATAGAAAAATATAGTTCTCAATTAAATTCATGCTGAGAATGCAATTCATTTCCATCTTTGTCCACATCTACCTCATCAGTCTAAAAGAAATATTCAACTCTCTCTTTAGTTAATTATATATATTTCTTTTTTTCTTTTTTAAAATTTTGAATTATTTTTTATTATTTTATTTTTTGATTTGACAATTTAGCTTACCCCTATTTTTTAAAAAATCTAGAAAAATTAATAAATTATTTCTAGTAATAGTTGATGAACTTTTAAAAATTTTACATCATCTATATTGTATCAATCTCTCTCGTT